TCTTCACCGCCGGCTCCGCCGTGCTGGCCGCGGCCAACAACAAGGAGACGCTGCTCGCCGGCCGCCTGGTTGTGGGGCTCGGCATCGGTGAGTTCGGGCTCGGCGAAGGGCGCCCGGGGGCCCCTGGCGACACCGCCCTTGACCCTGGCCGCTGCCTTCCTTTTGCACCCTCCGGGGTCCCCGTCGGGTCTCGCCGGGTCCAGAGAATGCTCATCTTCTAGCTCCTGCTCCGAGAGCCCATCCGTTTGTTAGTCCGGCCTCCCGGACACCCCCGGGGTGGGGGTGGGCGTTCGCCGTGGGCTCCCGGAGCCCGCGTGGAATCCTTGATCGCCCCCAGACAAGTGAATCCGCGTGACTGTTGCCTCTCAGCACTTCCAGGAACCCCGCGCATCCCCAGCTTTTTGCTTGATCCAACCCTGCCTGATGCCCATCCAGAGCTTCGAAGGGAGGGTCGCTTTCCTTTCCTGCCTCGTTTCACTTTGTTTCTCTACTGCTAGACCCTTTGATTTTTCTAGGATCCCAGACTCCAAACCCAGTCAGTCTTAAAGTCACAGTAAGAGAATTTTTAAAGTTAATCATGACATCTGGACTTTATTCTTTGCTTCTCTTCTCTTTCTTTCTCTAGGCATTTTGGGGGGGGGGGGATGGAGTATTATTTTTCTCTTATTTTGCTTTTACTTTTCGTATTGCCCTTTACTTTCATCTTTTTCCCAAGTGAATTCTTGGCTTTTCCTGTTTTCTGACTTTTTTTCCTTTAAACCCATATTCAACTCATTCTCCTTTTGCCTCTCCTGCTTTCCCTTGGGCCATGTTCACTTCCTAAATTCATTTAGAAACTACTCACTCTGTGGATAAATGCCCAGCAAGGTAGATGTTTGCAATTTACTTCAAAAATGGAAGGATTAAGATTCCCTTGGCATTGATTTTTCACCCCGGTTGCTGAGCAGGGGAGGTGCAATTGGCAAGTTCTTGGCAGATGGAAGCTATTTGGAATGTGCTCAGTATTATTAGAAAGCACTTTTGAGGCAAAGTAGGGGGTTGAGACTTGAATCTCGCTAGTAATTTTTCTAGGATGCCGCTGATGCTTTTTTAATGTTTCGTTTCATGATTCAGATCTGTGTTTCCTGTAGGGTGCTGTTGAAGGATTTCTTCCCCATGGCAGGGGTTTTGATGAAAGAGCCTGTTAAGCCTGGGGCTCTTGATGGATGATCTGTCCATTCACCACTTGTTTGACGTTTATGCTTTTCACCTCTTCTCTGTAGGCTCTGAACGGGAGGGAACCACTGGCCTAAAACCCAGATCACTGCACTTTATATCCAAAATCTCTCATTACTGACTTCCCTTTTGTTTGTTTATTGCACTGTTAATTAGTAAAGCAGGGTAAAGCTCTCAGTAAAGTGTTAAGTTGGCTCATAAAGTCCAAAATGATCAAAACGTACAGCTGAAATGAAACCTGTTTATATAGGAGCAGCCTGTGTCTTCAGGACTCTTTTCTCAGTCTTCTCTGCATGGGACACCCAGACCACCTTTTTTATCTCTTCTGACATTGAAATAATGTAATTTTAGGTAGCAACATTTGTTCAGTAAGACTGAATCTGACTTGGGATTCAAAATTCAGTGCTGTTGTGCAGAAATCTGTAAAAGTTCCCTTGTGTGTAGCTCTGGTAAGTGTTGGATGTTTGGATATTATGTTGACTCTTTTATCTGATAGGAAAATGGAGCACCTGCGTGTATAAGGCCCCCTCCCAGAGGCTGTGAGCAGAACAGTGAGGGGCGCTGATGCTCCAGTAAGAGTGGCAGATCAGGATGAAAGCAAGGTAGAACTTGCCAAGCTCTGTTTAAAAGGCTCGCAGAGAGGGCTGCTGAGTTAGAAAAGGGTGCAGTCACCCCTGACAGGAAAGCTTCAGCTCTTCCAGGTTGAAATGGTGTGTTGATAAGTAGTATTTTAACGGTAGAAATGAGGAGAGGACTTTCTAAGTCAGGGATCGAATAAAGAAAGGAAAGCAAAGGCCGTGCTTTTGGGGAACCAGGTGGGTGCAGCAGAGAGGACGGAGCAGGAGGTAAGATTGGAAAGGTTGATGTGCAGGAACTGTGGATGTGCTTGTGTCTCCCAGCCTCGTTCCCTGGCACCTGGGCTGCTTGCTTGAGGATGGAGCCAGCTGGGATGTGGTCCTGAGTTAGTCTTGGCATGGCCTGTCTCACTCCTGGGGGATCGCCCCTTCGAATAGCAGTCCTGATCCAGAGTTCTGTTAAAAACCCTTCTCACTTATAAAATCAAGAATGTTTTAAGGTCATAAGCAGGCTTTGAAATAGGCCGCGTTAAACACCACCACCTTTCACGTAAAACCCTTAAACTCACGAAGGTCACTAACCATTCAAGAAAGAAGTCACGAATATTTTTAGCTACAAGGAAATGGGTCCTTAACATGAGCATTTTTGAGGGGATGCAAAATCAGTTTTGCTTATTTTAGTACAATAAATCTGGGTTTATTTCAGGCCTTTTTAAGTAGTTAAATTTTATGTGTGGTCAGGAGCTTTTTTTTTTTTTTCCATCCTTTTGATATTTAGTAAATGTTGACAAATAACAAAATGTGTCTTCTGATACCTTTTCCCGACAGGTTTGCAGTGATTCTTTCTTTCACAGATTGACCTGCAATACATGTAAGGCCGGCAAGGACAGGGCTTTTTGCTCTTCTTGTTCACTTGATGTCCTCCTAGCCCACAGGAGTACTTGCTAAGTAAATGAGTGACTAGTACGCAGAAATGTTAAAAAATTCCATTGCTGATAGGGTATTGCTCTAAGTTAGGATTGTTACTAAAAAAAAAAAAAAAGGTGTATCATGAAATATTTGAAAGGCCATCTAAGGGTTTTAGTTTGTAATAATGCAGTGACATCATTTCATGCATTCATATGTTCAACAAATACTAATTGAGCTTCCATTATTGATTCTGTCAATTTTGGGGGGAAGGGCAGTAATTAGACAGATAAAAAGCCAACCCTGGAGGTGTTCATTCTCTAATGGAACGGAAAGGCCATCAACAAGCAATTAAAATACAGTAGAGGTTTCTCTAAGTGCCATGGGAAATGCAGAAGTGTAGGCAATTGAATTTGGGGTGAGGGGGGCACGGAGAAAATAGAACACACAATTAAGGTTTTTCAGAAACAGATATTTGAAGGGTGAGTAGGAGTTCTGCAGATTTACAGACAGCCATGAAAGGAACTAGTGTTTGTTTAGTGCTTTAGTATATGCTGGGCACCCTGCTGTTCCTTTACACATTATCTCACTGCATCCTTCTAGCGTTTTGAAACAGGTCCCCCTTGGCTGGGTGTGGAAACAGCTGACAGGCAGAGCTCAGAGGTAATGTGAGTTAGGTTCCAGACCAACTCGCCAAAATAAAGTGAATATTGCAGTAAAGCGAGTCGCACAAACTTTCCGGTTTCCCAGTGCATAGCAAAGTTATGGTTACACTATGCTGTAGCTTGTTATGTCTCAAAAAAACAACGTACAGATCTTAATTTAAAAATACTTAATTGCTAAAAAATGTTAACCATACTGTGAACCTTCAGGTAGTGATCTTTGGGTGGAGGGTCTTACCTCCTTCCATGTTGATGGCTGCTGACTGATGGGGGTGGTGGCTGTTGAAGGTGGAGGTAGCTGTGGCAATTTCTTAAAATAAGACCACAGTGAAGTTTGCTGCATCAATTGATTGATCCTTTCACAAATGATTTCTCTGTAGCCTCCACTGCTGTTTGATAGCATTTTACCCATAGTTGGAGCTTTCAAAATTGGAGTTAGCCCTCTCAGACGCTGCCACTACTTTATCCACTAACTTTATGCAGCATATTCTAAATCTGTCATTGTCATCTCAGCAGCCTGCACAGCATCTTCACCAGGCGTAGACTCCGTCTTGAGAAACCACTATCTTTGCTCGTCCAGAGGAAGCAGCTCCTTAGCTGTGAACATTTTATCGTGAGGTTGCAGCAACTCAGTCACAGCCTCAGGCTCTACTTCTAATTCTACGTCTCTTGCTGTTTCCACCACATCTGCACGCACTTCCTCCACCGAAGTTTTGAACCCCTCAGAGTCATCCATGAGGGTGAAAATCAACTTTTCCAAACTCTTTGGAATGCTGATATTTTGACCTCTTCCCATGAATCATGAATATTCTTAATGGCACTTGGAATGATGAATTCTTTCCAGAAGATCTTCAATGGACTTTGACCACATTCATCAGAGGAATTGTTGTCAATGGCAGCTATAGCCTTACACAATGTATTTCTTAAAAATAATAAGACTTGACTGTCGAAATTACTCCTTGATCCATGGGCTGCAGAATGGATGCTGTGTTAGCAGGCATGAAAACAACATCGATCTCATACATCTCCATTAGAGCTCTTGGATGACCAGTGAGCAGTAATATTTTGAAAGGAATCTTCTCTTCTGAGCAGTAGGTCTCAATAGAAGGCTTAAAATATTCAGGAAACCATGTTGTAAACAGATGTGCTGTCATCCTGGCTTTGTTCCATTCACAGAGCACAGGCAGGGTAGATTAAGCCTAATTCTTAAGGGCCCTAGGGTTTTCAGAATGGTACACGAGCATTGGCTTCCACTTAAAGCCACCGGCTGCATTTGCCCCTAACAAGGCAATCACTGTGTCCCTTGAAGCCTTGAAGGCAGACCTTGACTTCTCTCTTGCTATGTAAGTTCTTGATGGAATTTTCTTCCAATATAAGGTGGTTTCGTCTGCACTGAACCTCTGTCGTTTGGTGTGGCCACCTTTGTGAATTATCTGACCTAGATCTTCTGGATAACTTGCACTTTTAGGCCATCAGGATGGCTTCTTTCCTGAAATCTCAGGAACCAACCTCTGCTCACTTTAGACTTCTCTTCTGCAGCTTCTTTGCCTCTCAGCCTCCATAGAATCAAAGAGAGTTAGGTCCTTGCTCTGGACCAGGCTTTGGCTTAAGGAAATGTTATAGCTGGTTTGATCTGGTTTGATCTTCTGTCCAGACCACTACAGCTTTCTCCATATTAGCGAGAGGACTGCTTTCTTATCAGTCATGTTATTCTCTGGAGTCGTGCTTT